AGGACCTGCTGTCGCGCTCCCCTCGGAGCCGCCCCCGCCATGAACTGCCGCGCGGAGGTGCTGGAGGTGTCGGTGGAGGGTCGGCAGGTGGAGGAGGCCATGCTGGCCGTGCTCCACACCGTCCTGCTGCACCGCAGCACCGGCAAGTTCCACTACAAGAAGGAGGGCACCTACTCCATCGGCACCGTGGGCACCCAGGACGTGGACTGCGACTTCATCGACTTCGCCTACGTCCGCGTCTCCTCTGAGGAGCTCGACCGGGCCCTCCGCAAGGCTGTCGGGGAGTTCAAGGTAAGGGGAGCCCCGTGGGGTTCGAGGTGAGGGAGCCCCGTGGGGAGCCGGTGTTGCCAATCTGCAGTGGTCAGAAAAACTCCTCCACACACAGTTAGATCAGGAGAGACGTCCTTTATTAACGATGCGCACCAGGGACGTGGGATCCTTCCCAAAGGTGTCCGCCTGCACGTTGCAAGATTCTGCCCAAAGGTGTCCGCCTGCACGTTGCAATCCACAAGTGTTTATATATTAAATTCATGCATATTTCGTTTATACAATGCATATTTAATTTCATCCTCTCAACGATTGGTTCTTCCTTCCTCGCTTCTGATGCAAATCACCACGCAGCCTCTGTCGTAGTCTTGTATTGTTCCCTTGTGAGTAGGGGGTATAATTTGGGTAGGTGGTCCGTGAGTCAGAGGTCTCGACCACTCCTTGACTTGACCGTGTTTGGTCAAGGAGCATGTCCTTGGCTCGTAGGCTCTTGGCTCGTACCTGCTTTGGTCACGATTCAAAGATTACACACAATGGGCACCATCATAAATCCTGTCCAGCAGACATCTGGGACTACAACACATTATCCTTGTTTCCAACCACTAACAGATCGTGGGTTGATGAATACCTCAGGTCTGGAATTTTAGAGAGGCACGCTAGCAGCAGTGGCAATACAGGTTTTATTTTATATTGAATCATTTATTCCATTTGAGACTGATCTACCTGAAATTACCACTAGTCATCCTTACTAATATCTACTAAGTAGAATTCTTGATGTTCAAATCAAGATGGGAGAAGTAAGGGGGTTTCTAAGCAGTATCCTAAAATCCTAAATCTGGTGATTTCTGCAACACCGGCGGGGCCAAAAGTGGGAGCTCAAAACCCTGCGGGCTGTGCTGTGCCCTCGCCCCTGAGGGTCGGGTCGGTCCCCGGCTCGCCCTGAGCGGGGCCCCGTGCTCTCTCGGCAGGACGCCTTGCGCGGCTCGGGCAGCGACGGGATGGGGCAGATCTCCCTGGAGTTCTACCAGAAGAAGAAGTCCCGCTGGCCCTTCTCGGACGAGTGCATCCCCTGGGAGCTGTGGACCATCAAGGTGAACGTGGTGAACCTGGCGAACGAGCAGGAGCGGCAGATCTGCCGGGAGAAGGTGGGCGAGAAGCTCTGCGAGAAGATCATCAACATCGTGGAGGTGATGAACCGCCACGAGTACCTGCCCAAGATGCCCACCCAGTCAGAGGTGGACAACGTCTTCGACACCAGCCTGAAGGACGTGCAGCCCTACCTGTACAAGATCTCCTACCAGATCACGGACTCCCTGGGCACCTCGGTCACCACCACCATGCGCCGCCTCATCAAGGACACGCTGGCTTTGTAGGAGCAGGTGCCGCCGAGGCAGGTTCACCCCGACGTGGTGGCACCTCTCCGCCACGGCTCCCGGCTCTTTGGGGCAGCGTCTCCGCTTGGATCCCTCCTCTCCACCTCCCAAAAAAATCCTTTGCGAGGAGCTGGACTCATCTTGGCCCTTCACTGGGGGGTG